ATCCCATTATCATTGTTCATTTCATGTAAACTGTCATTCCTAGTTGTAAGTTTGAAATTAGCTTTCCTCCCTAAATATGCATTGAAATCTAATAAAATGTTCATGTTGTACTTTGGAAATTGATGAAGTGCGTGCTCTAGTTCCTCATAAAAGCTGCCCATTGTGTAATCACATTTATCCTTGGTGCATGCACATGCAGGACAGCAATATCACACCAGTGGACAACCTCTTTGTATAAAATATGACATTCTATCCCCATCACACTCTACTCTTTCAACTGCTTGTGTTCAGTGAAGCCTGTTCATAAGTAATGATATGCATTCCCATTTCTATAGAAGATTATATGATTGTTGGTTCAGTGCCACCCTTGTCAGATCTGACCTTCTGTACTTCCACAAAATCTAAACTACATATTGCTAGTTCTCATGATTTCATTTTATAAGAGTCTGACCTATTGATACTCTTGATATTCCAAGCTCCAAACCTCCAAATCCGTTTTCCATTTCTTAGGTAGTTCCAAGTCCGAGGCTCTACGTAACATTTCATGACAGACTTGGTTTTAGTTGTTCCTCAAGCTCCATTGTGAGCAGAGAACACCTTATGGGCCCATTCATGTCTCTCTTAATTTTCGTAGGAACTAGGCCAAGGTGATTGTTGGAACACATTGCAACAGTGGGAATTGGAGCTGTTGTTAGCTGATATTGTTGCAAGTTACCACAGGTTACATTGCAACAATGACTTGTGCTGTGAAAAACACCGTTGAAATGTTATTGTAATCCAAAGAGAACACCTTCCTGATCTTTCTTACAGTGGGCAGTTATTAACCCCCTACCTATCTGACCCCCAAGCTGAAGGACCACCCCTTGTCAAATGGCTGCTACTATTTGTTCAATGTTGTTGCAGTTACCCTCCATATGTAGATGATTTCTCCTCCATCCACAACCTGAGGATGCCATGGTGAAAAGCATCCCATTTAATATGGCCTGGATAGTGTATATGCCACAAAAATTACTTGTCCTCAATAAACTATCAGATTTCCATGTTATTTCCTTAAATTTTGAAGAAGATTGTATTAACTTTCTGATTGCTGAAAATAAAATGTTTTGTTTTTAGCCACACCCTCCCAATTTCTTCCCTCATTTCAAAATATCTGGGAATCTTACATCTATAATGTCAACAATCCTTTATGCTGCAGTACCACCTTCGTGGATTTAATCAGATATCTGCTTCTGCACATTTTTAGACTTCATTTCTTTGTTTGTTAGTTTGTTTTGAGAGTGACATGAGAAGACTTGTTTTGTTTGTGATACAGCTTTGTAACTTAGAATTTTTTGTATTCCTAAAATGAAAATAATTGGCAATGGGTAGTTTTGAAAACAAATTATATCATTTTGTTTTATTTTGGCTTTTTTATGGGTAACCATACTTTTGATGTTTTGGTAGAAACACAAAATAACTGCAAACATGTGTCTTAAAAAAAGTCATATCTTCTTTAACTATTGAATTAGCAGATGACTGAATGTTAACATGAATAAAATCTGTAATCACTAGTTTCAACTGAAATCTTGGTCACTGCTAGTGGTCCAACATCCCTGTGCTGTATTATAGTCATAATTCTAGTTTTTTACAAAGCTAATGGACAGTGTAAATGTTATAGAGAGACATAGTCATTTCCAGTATTTTATAAGACAAGTCATAATTAAAAATTGTTGAAGTAAAATTATTAAATCTTAATGTGATTTATATTTTATGACATGTTGATGTGTGGTAAGTGGTTCAGTAAAACATGTCAATGAATGGACAAACAATGCCACCCTAAAATATTCATTTCATGTATTTTGTGCAAAGTGCATAAAAATAATTTCTTTTGATGATATTATGACCAGTATTATGATCAAGAGTGTGAACAGATCTTGCATGGAATATCTGTTGGTGAATGGGATAGTGGTGATGGGATGTCTCACACAAAGTAGCAGTTGTTATGAATGCTCGTAGCCTCCCCACCAAACGGAACTATAGTATTTTGATAAATGTTCTAGTTATTCTCTATGAATTATTTTATGATGGAAAATGAAGCCTCATGTCTTATTTGTTATTTGTATATTGACCTTAAAAATGGAAAAATATATTTATTATTATTATTATTATTATTATCATCATCATCATCATAATTTTTATTATTAGTAAGGATAGCTGCAGTAAGTCACAACCTGTGTCATACTAACCAGTTTGATTTCCTGAGAACCATTACTCAAATTCCTGGGTTACAAGTGTGCTAGTTTCTCATTTTAGCATTTTTGTTACACGAGTAATGTTTCTGTAATTAATTGTTGTTTTATTTTGTTTTAGCATCTCCTGATATGTAGCATTGAGACACAAGGCTAAATATAAATAAACTTGTTGAAGTTAGACTTGGTGATTCCCATATATGCCATCTAATATAACTGTGGTCTAATTACAGCTTGTCTAACAAAACCCAATATGTTTTGGCCACTGGTGGCCATCAGTCCTATCAATATATCACTTTATTTAACCACATATTTTTACTGTCTGGGTTTTGAAACAAACATAAAATAACACTATACATAAAACTGTGAAATATATTTAAGTAATAAAAGGTTAATAAAATGTTTAATTAAATTTTGATATACTTTATTAATAATTTGGCTATAATTTTATTCCCTTAGATAGTATTATAAACATTCTTAAGAGTTCCTGTCTTATGATGCAGATCCAAATTTGTGTAGTGCATTCCATGATGAGTATGTAAGAGTTATAATTCTTATATCTTCATGCTTTTTTTGAATTAAAATTTTGTGTCAGTAAACTAAAGTGATTAAGAATTTTTACTCATGAATGCTTGTAAGAGAATGGTACTACATGTATTTGGATGAACCTTTTGCCACTTCATTGTATTTTGCTGTTTTGATAGTAGAATTATTTTATGTTTTTAGCTCACCCTTGATAGAGAAAGTAGTGTGATGTACAATTTCTGATAATCCCCGATGATTGTTGGCTGCGTAAACGTGCCAGGTTACATTTAATGGTCATTTAAATATAGTTGTATTAGATAATATATATGCCATTCACTATATATAAAAAAAACTTTTTGGAACCAAATTTGAAAAAGGTTAGGTTTTATTTTTTTGAGTAAATCATTTGTCTGAAGAGCCTTCTTTTGCCCCTGTATGCCTTTATAATCTGCACATTTTTTACAATCTTATCAGTTGCACTGGCCCCACTTTTATGTCTAGCACAGTAATTCCTCTGTTAATTTAGTAAATAAATAATAGGTTCTTATTGCACATCACAACCAGAATTTTTATAGTTCCCATTCCCTTAACAAATGTGAGGTATCCTGAAGTGATACTATTTTGATATTGTTAGAAAAAGTGGGATCAGTTTTGAGATCCCACCAACAGATTGTGATCTCTTGCATGGCCAGTGCTGTCCAGCAAGGTGTTTGCATAATATAAAATAAACGTGTTTTATGCAGAATGTTGTTTAGTTAAAAGTATGTTGTAATAAATAATCTGTGTTTAAGTGTGGAAAGTTCCATTAAGACATTACTTACAGCACATTGCCCACCTCCTTATAATAACTGTATTGTATTCCAACATATATATTTTAAATGAGGAATTACTGTGTTTCATTGCATGCATACATTTTATATGCATGTTCATTGTATTTACACATGTCTCACACTTTGCTTTAAAGCTCTTGTTTTTAATATAAGCATGATGGAATGATACAAATTTGTGTTTTTACTTATTTTTTCATTTGTTTACTTTTCAGTTTTTAAGATTTCTATTTGATTGCAGTTAACAAACTGTTGTTATATTATTGTTGGTTTTGGTATGTAAGGTTTTTTTAAAAATTAGTACTAATTATTTTTGTTCTTAAAATAACTAAGGGAAGGTAAAAGAATTGTTGCTGTTGTTAAAAGTGTTTTCAAAAATTGGTAAAGTGAGAGGAGATTTCAGTTGTGTATAATTTGGATGCCTTCACCTGACAAACAACATAATACTGCCTTACCTTTTCACATCTTTTATTAAAGTTTGAACAGTGTCAAGAAATCACATTCCAGGACAGTGTTGAACTTCTTCTGATAATTTTAATTGCTAACAAAATTAATTTAAATCAAATCACATGGTGTAATGTAAACCTCAAAAAATGGATCCTCTTCCACTTACTTTGGAATTCAGAATATCACATTGAAGTCCAATGTAAAATTAAAATTAAATACGTTGGAATTCACCTTGGCAGTGTATTATGTGATTCTCAAAATAGGGATCCTCTGGGTCACTCATGGCATTTGGCAGATAACATTCCACTTAAGTGATGCACTGAGTCTACCAGCTTTAATTAAAATGTACCTGGTAGTGTCATTTGATTCTCAAAATGGCTGTATTTAGGGTTACTCAGTCTGGCATTTGGCAGATCACATTCCACTCCAGTATTGGATTGAATCCTGACCTGAAAGTTTGTTTTCAAATTAAATAAATTTAAATGAGCCTGTAGTGTCAAGCAAATGACCAAAGTGTAGATCCTATCATTTAGTCTTGTGTTTAGCAAGTACTTTCACGTCCAGTGTTTTAGTGAGTGTGAATACTGGACCTTTTGGGGATACATTATGTTGTAATAAGTGTATCTCAGAGGATTATCTTGCATGTCATTTGAATTGTCGTGATCAGCCAAACAACCAACACTTACCACTATGTTGCTGAAGTTAATTTTAGTGAAGTAATTGATTACAGTCAAAATTTTGTTTTCTGTTGGTGCATGCAGGTGATTCTCTAGTTCTTGTATTTTTATTATTTAGACATTTCTGTACCTTCCCTTAATTTCCAGTACACTTATTATTTTTTTATTTACATGTAGAGTTTTCTAGCTGGTAACTTGGTTGTGTTATGATATCAATCTTTTGAATGTCTCTTTATTTTACTTCTTAGAAACTAATTATTTACCCCATTTTTCTTTGTCATTGGTTTGCCATGCAGTCTGTTTCTGGTGGGGCCACCCCCCTTGCTGGTGCTTCTACTACGCTTCCTCGCACGTCTCCAAATCAAGCTAACCTGACAGCATCCCAACAGTATGCAACATTGCCTTTGCAAGCGAGTATTTCCAAAACACAAGCTTCACAACCTCATGCAGCAGAGAAGATGGAAAACACTCCATCTCCAACTTCCCAACCCTCTGTACCCGCATATGCTTCAGCACTGGGTGATGCTGCCACACATCCAGTGCAGTTTAGTGCTTCCCCTGCCAAATATGCTACACTTCCCACACAGACTGCCTTTATAAATCAAGGCTCCTATTCTGCTGCTGTTCCTGCAACAGTTCACTACACTGTTCAAGTTCCAAACTATGGCATCCCCCCTTTACCACAGACAGCCCCACCCCATCCTCCCCATGGCTTTCCACCTTATCCTTACAAGTTGTACACAGAACATGCCTCTTCTTCCATTCCTTTCCCAAATTATTCCACTTTTCCAACCCAGACAGATGCAGCAAATAAAGACAATCCATTGAACAGCCCGCAGATTGGTTATAGTGCTAGTAGTACTCTCCCAGTTCAGTCTCCTTCAGTGGCATTTAATGTATCTACTGAAGAAGTTGTACAACCCTCTTCACAGACTCAGTACAAACAATATTCCACCCTCCAAAATTCCACTACCTCTTCATCTGCGGAAGGAGCTGTACCACCCCGATCACACACACTGTATAGCCAATATTCTGCCCTCCCACCTTCCACTACCACTTCATTCACTGAGACAGCCATATTATCCCCACCACACACATTGTATAGCCAATATTCCAGTCTCCCACCCTCCACTGTCACACATGATGAGGCAGACATTTATTCTTCCACGGATGACTTATTGGATCCTATTACTCGCAGCCGCAAACCAAATGCACGACTTTCTGGAAAGAAGATTGATCCAGTGGAGGTGGGTTGATAAAACAGAAAAAAAGTTATTTTAGGTGCAGTATTTCTTACCTTGTTCTGCGAAAATATGGGGTGATGAGGTGTAAGCATGTGATGGTGGTATAAGGTGAAGGAATATTGTTTTTTCAGTGTTACATATTGAAAGATTTGTGTCTTCATTTTCATCCATACTGGGAACATGTCTGTTCCTTGTAATAACTTTCTAACCATTTGACAAATTTTGATGAAATGTGGTATGAATATGAAGCCATTGGGGGCCACTCCGCCTTTCTAATTAATATTTTCCCAACATCACTTAATATGGTTGTTGTGTGAACTTGTGAGTAGGGAGTGGCACTGTCTCTTCTTAATGTATGTTCCTGAAGTGTCATGCAGTAATGTTTAAAATTTTGCAACCTTTATTTATGTTCTTATTTTTGGAATGTAAAACAATAACATGACAACCTTGTGAAATCTACAAAATTTGACAGCTGTAAACTAATGAGCTATGGAACCTGGACATGTTAAATTATATCTTGTGTGAGACATATTGACTGGAACATCAAGTACAAGAACAAATTACAAACTCTGTGCTTCATCTGAAGTTCCGAAGTATGGGCTTTTACCAAAGGAAAAATCACATCATCTAGGAGATGAACAATGCCTGTTAGTAGTCACTGATGTACAGAGACATTGTCCCACCCCCATCATATCAATTAAAAAAGAATTGGTCTAATGAGTAGCTACAAAATGTTAATGTAAGAATTTGTTCAGGTATTGTTCCACAGAGACATAGTCTGACCCCATTATAGCGTTAAAAAGAAATTGGTTTGGAGAACAATGACAAAATGTTCATATAAGAATTTGGCAATATCTGTGACAAAATTTGTTACAGGTGATGACATAACTGCTATCTGATTTGTACAGTGTATCAAAGTTTACAAAAAGGAATTGCATTGTAGTGTTCTATAACATGGGCATTTAAGTGCATGTGATTAATTAAATTACTAAGCGATTTGTGATTCCTCTGTCTGTAAAGTGATGGACTGTGTGCTCAGTGATTGTGATTTGATCTCCAGCAGGTATGTTTCAATATTTTCTTTATCACTGTCCCCAGATGGTTCTGGAGCCATATTCCTTGTGTTCCAGGAGCTCATTCCCAAGGCTAAAGCAGTCAGAATATTAAACTGACCACTCATTTCCCTCAAAGCCTTTGTCCAAACTGTTTGAAGTTTTACCTCCATGACCCTTACACACATTTACATGCTGCATAGGCATGTGGGCAATATTATTAAATACTGGTTGGCATTTTATTTGCAAGACATAGAGCTATTAAGTGGTGTATCCTTATGCAGGGTGTGAACAATGCTGAAGTGATAAAGAAGACGTCGGTGAGCGACAAAATGAAGTTCTTTGAGAAAGCTATGGAAGAACAGCACCAGCCTTCTCCAAAGCCAGGTAAACCTTAACAAGTTGGCCGTACATCTGATAGCATACGTATGAGTAGCAGAACGCATGGTTTGTCCATTTGTCATGCTTTGTATAGACTACACAGTTTGTCAAAAGAAAGATACAGAATGGAATGAATGAAGAAAGGAAGGAAGAGATTGGTAGGTATGAAGAAATAATAGTAAGGTTAAAATTATTTTCTCATGAATACATTCCAGGAAAATTACTACAAATCTGTAAAGTTTGAACCAAAGCACATGCACCACAGATCTAACATTTTAAGAAACAGAGCACGTTCTATTCCCGGAAATTAATTTTTACTCCTTTTTTTCTTTTCAGAAAAGGTTTTCAGCTTTTTAAGTCAGGATGAAGTGGAACGCATGAAGCAGGAGGAAGGTAATTAATTATATCACTCTTGTGTGTTATGTACTGAAACCTAACCTCTCATTTGTGTGAATTGTCACCTGGATGTGTATGACTGTATTTGACATTACATGTTTTATTCAAGGAAAATCCTTTTAAACAGATGTATATATTTATATATCATGTACTCTTCCTGATTTTTCTCCTTATTATCTAAATTTAACTCCAGATCTGTAATATATTTTATCTTGACTATAGTTGTAATGTTTGTGTGAGCACATTCGACTTCTCTGTTTGTCTCATTCACTTTTTTTCTTAATTTTAATTTTTGTCTCTCTACCTTACTCACTTTTTAAACATTTTATTTGTATTCATTTAATTTACTAGCAATTCTGTGTTACAAGTGAAAAAAGTTAATTAAATTCCTATGCCTGATATTCTTTGGGTTAGAATACAAAAAGACTCTCCTAAGGTGCAATCCA